CCATTCTGTACAATGTGTTCACGCGATTCAAATCCAAAACACACGAGGCGGCAACGTGTCAGATCAGCATATTTATTCATTTTTGTATAAAACTGGTTTCACGTTCCCTGTTCGATTTATGTGATCCAAGAAAACAAATACATTTAAAAATAAATACAATTCTTTATAAATAAAAGATAAATAAACCTCATAATTAAGGAATGGCGGAACAAAAAAAAAAAAATCTTCATGGAGAGGCGCTGAACCTTAGCGACTCTCGTACCGTGAAAGCAAAAACTTCAAGTAAGGGCCTGGACCGGGCCGGCTTTTCGGGGACGACGGGGTAGGGGGGTTGTCCAATTGCCTTAAAATAACAGCCCCGCGACATGTAGCGTTTGAAGAAAATACAAAAAAAATAAAAAAGTTTCAGTGGGGTGAACGCAAGCTAAAGTGCCGTGACAAAACGAGGATGCCGCTGACCCGTACAGATGGCGTTCCGATTCACAGAGTTAACCCTTTCGTCTCTATGAGGGTCTTTGGTAATGATAAAGTAATAAGACTACATTTTGGGTTCTATTCTCATAAGAAAATAAATGTTTTTTTTTTTTGCTTACAACAGCAAATTCCAAAATATTTATATTATAATATTCCAAAAATTTGCCTTTGGTAACCGTGTAGTATAGTGGGCGAGGGGGAGGAGCGCCCATTGTCGCAGGGTGAAGTGACTGGCACACCAAGCAAAAGCTTGACGCGGTCGGGGAATCTGGTTCAATGATCAAAAAAAAAAATGGAGCAGAGCAGCCGGTGACACCAATAAACTTGTCTATCTGCCCCACCACAAGCACAGCTAGCCAAGGGGAGGATAGTTAAGGTGGTTGAAGTTCCAATATGCTCCGCAGGTGTATAGAGCAGAGGGGAACTTGTGCAGCGTTCAGACGCCATCAAATTGAAGGTTCTCTACACTTTAGGCCAAGCCAGTCTTAACCCGTGCTCCTCCAGAGGCTTCTAGGGGTTCCCCGAGCAGTGGCTGGATGACCTACCATGAGGGTAGGCAGCCTTGCTACTCCAGCTAGTTTGAAACTAAAAGTCCCAGGAGTCATTGCAATTCTGACAGCCACAGGCATGACTCAGATGCATGATGGGATTTGCATTTCCCCCACAGCTGGCGCGCCAAGGTTGTGTACCCCTGACCTACCATTTGATGGCGCCGCCATAGGTTTCAAAAGGCAACATCACTTGGCAAAGCCAGCTGCACAACGCCAATGATCTTTATAGCCGCCTGTAAGGGGAGCATTACCGCTCCCCTTACTGTAAGGGGCATTCTTTGTGCCGTGCACCACTGTGCGAGGGGTATTGTTCCCACCGACATCGGGGTAAAGATTGAGAAAGTCTGTCCAATAAAACCAGAGCTCCCAGTTAAAGGATTTGGAGAAAATTCTGCCCAAATTCTCCAGCTCAGAGGTTCCGCTCGGTAGGGTGTTCCCTTGGAATTTCCACATCATTTACCAACTATACAATAGTACGTGAACGCAGCATGACGCCGTGCTTGCTCCCTACGTGCCATTCCGCCTGAAGTGCCAGGAACTTGCCAAATGGTGGAACGTAGGCGACAAAGTCCCACTAAAGTCTGCAGTAAAAACAAGCCGAGTCCCTCCTTCCGGGAGGAGATCTCTCATTACAGGGCCTCTTTGGTGACTAGAGCTGCAGCAGGTTATATATTGCACCAGGCAGGGAATGGGAAGAGGGGAGGGGGTCCCCATTCAAAGCATGGACACTCCACTTCCAGCAGCTGCTCAGCCATAAACTCTGGACTGCTTGAAAGGGGCAGCTGTTTCTATTGTGCTATGAATGGAGAAGGGGCGGGGGGG